AGGTATGGAGGGAAGTAACACACGCACGAGATGTGTTTGTTTGTTTGTGTGTGTGTTGTCATGTTCGCCACAAAAAAGCATGGCTGTTCCAGAGTGTTTCGTCGTGCTTCCACCGACTCATCAGGAGGTTGAACCACGACAGTCCGCCCAGGATGCGTTGGGCTGACGGATAAGGACTCACCATGTCGCCCAGAGTTAGCGCTACCCCTGAGAAAAGTGGTCGATTTTGGCAGACTGTCGATCCTAACCCCTGACAAGAACTGCAGTAAGTCTGGGAAACTAATCTGTCACAGCCATAAAACCCAGTCTCCGTGTGTGTGTGTGTGTGTGTGTGTGTGTGTGTGTGTGTGCGCGCGCGCGCGTGATTGCTCATAGTTTCGCAGATGCATGACATAATAATATATTGACAAGTCCTATTTACTCCAGAGATACAATATGATATTGATTTCTGAAAGTAAAAAAAAAAAAAAAAAAAAAAAAAAACTACGGGATTAGCCGCACTGGCCGTACTTGTGCATATTAAAATGGAACCTATGCCTTCTATTCATGGAAAATGCTCATGCTAAAAAAAAGAAAAAAAAAGAAAAAAAGAAGAAAAAAGAAAAAAAAGGAAAAAAAAAGAAAAGAGAAGAAAATGCACATGCTGTATGTTTGGGAGAAGAAGATGGTAGTTGTTCTTTCCCTCACCTGATGGCGAACTTGACGATCTGAGCAGACGTCCGGTTCCCGCAGGTGTTCGGGCTGGTTCATGTGATCTTGTGGGTTCCGGGTCACTTCAGAATGTCGCTGTTTTGATAAACGATGATGGCAACAGGAAAGGAACACATGATGTGACTTGTAAAAGGGTGTGTCGGTGCAGATGATGCCATTTGGGAGGCGGCCACTTGGAGCCACAGACTTACGTCTGGAAGGGAAAGCTGGAGGGCAGGTTAGTGTGCAACTGGCTTGTTACTTGTTGTCACCTTTTTGCCAATGAAGTGACATTTTGTGTCACGAGTCGAGAGCAGAATCAGCAGATGCACTGGACCATAGAAATCCTTTTTTTTGTTGATTTCGCAAAAAAAAACTAAGGTATACTCGTCTCTCAAGTATCCCTTACACTGCCGACCCACATCTACCTACCATCTTCCCCCGAACATAACGCACCCTAAAAATGAATGTGTACAAGCTATATTTCCGGCCAGATTCAGCCAAAAGGAGGGTGCGTTGTGTTCGGGGGAAGACGGTAGCCAGGGCTGCATCTACCAAGCAGGGGCTAACCAGATGTACATTCATCAACCAGGGGCAGCCAAAGTCTACTGGCCATATGAACTCACCCCCAGCTAGGACTGGCAGGGGCCAAGGCCTCCTAGGACCAATACCAACTCCCGTCTTCCCCCGAACACAACCCACCCTCGTTTCGTCTGTACCTACCATCATTATCAGGGTGCGTTATGTTTGGTGGAAGACGGTAGGGAGGGCAAGCCAATTATCTCGGCTGGCGAACACCAAACATCACAGTAGTCTTTTTGTTTTTTTCAAAAGGGCGACAGCCTTGAGATATAGTCACCGAACTGACCGGCCCTAGGTAGGTCATTCAGAATTGTAGTATTTCACTCGTCTGCTTCCAATGGAGTTCGGACTCACTTGGGTCTGTATTTCAAGAGTTAGGGGGTGTACCAACTGAGCTAGGCCAATCGGATCTAGAGTCTTTCCTTTTTTTTTTTTCAATCAAGTCTCCTCTAATGTGGAGTCTTGGTCCGTCAGTCCCACGTAATGGTACCTTAGAGATTGCAATTTGGGCCGAAACCGTCTTTGCTCCCCTTCATTATGGTTATGGGATCCCCTGAACGAAGATTGATTGTTTCCTGCAGTTGTTTACCTGTTTGCCTTTGGGTTCTCTTTAG